AAAACCACATGATCATCTCCATTGATGCAGAAAAGGCTTTTGACAAAGTCCAACACTCATTCATGTTCAAAGTCCTACAGAAAATAGGAATAGATAGCCTCTACGTCAATCTGATAAAAGCCATTTATGAAAACCCAACAGCTAACATAATCCTAAATAGCAAAAAACTGAAATCTTTTACTCTTTGATCTGGTACAAGACAAGGATGTCCTCTATCACCACTCCTATTCAATATAGTTCTGGAATCAGTAGCTACAGCCATTAGACAAGAGAAAGACATAAAAGGAATAAGAATAGGTGAAGAAGAAGTTAAATTATCAATTTTTGCAGATGACTTGATACTTTACTTGGAAGACCCAAAAAACTCCACCAAGAAGCTACTGGAATTAATACAGAAATTCAGTAGCATAGCAGGTTATAAAGTCAATACAAAAAGTAAATAACATTCCTCTACACAGACAACAAACACACTGAGAAGGAAATTATAGAAACAATACCTTTTACAATAGCACCGAGGAAAATGAAATAACTTGGAATTAATCTAACTAAAGAAGTTAAAGATCTTTTGATGGAAAATTACAGTATTCTTAAAAAAGAGATTGTAGAGAATTTCAGACAATGGAAAGATATTCCATGCTCCTGGATAGGAAGAACCAACATTGTGAAAGTGGCCATACTCCCAAAATTGCTGTACAGATTTAATGCAATCCCTATCAGACTACCACCAACATACCTCACAGAGGTTGAGAAATCATTCCTAAAATTTATCTGGAACCAGAAAAGACCTAGAATAGCAAAGGTAATCCTGGGCAATAAAGACAAGGCAGGAGGCATTAGAATTCCTGACTTGAAATTATACTACAAGGCTACTGTGATAAAATCAGCATGGTACTGGCAACAGAATGGATCTGAGGATCAATGGAATAGATTAGAAGACACTGAAGCCCCTATGAACACATTCACCTACCTTATCTTTAACAAAGGGGCCAAACATACTCACTGGAAGAGAGAGAGCCTGTTTAACAAATGGTGCTGGAAAAACTAGATCTCTACATGCCAACAACTAAAACTTAACTCAGGTCTATCACCATACACTAATCTAAAATCAAAATGGATTAAAGAAAAAAATGGATTAAAGATCTAAACATTAAATTAGTGACACTAAATCTCCTGGAAGACAAAGTAGGAGGAACTCTTGAAGACACAGGGGTAGGCAAAGACTTCATGAACAGAAATCAAATTGCACGGGAAACAGTTGAAAGAAAAACTGGGACCTGCTCTTACTGAGACGTTTTTTCATGTCAAAAGAAATTACCAACAAACTGAAAAGGCAGCTCACAAATTTGGAAAAAATCATGACAAATAAGTACTCAGACAAAGATCTGCACTCTAGAATTTATAAAGAACTAAAAAACACTAGGGCCCCAAAATTTAAAGACCCAATCCAGAAATGGGCATCTGAGATGAACACACGCTTCTCAGAGGATGAAATTAAAGAAACGAATAAATATATGAAAAAATGCTCCACATCACTAGCTATCCACGAAATGCAAATTACAACAACATTGAGATATCATCTCACCCCAGAAAGAATGG